TATGAAGGTAATAATAATACAGTAATAATAATAATAATAATAATAATAATAATAATAATAAATACTATTATTTATTTAGACTAGGGGAAGGGGCTTATGGCCAGACTGGGGGAGGGGGATTATGGCCAGTATTTATCATCAATTATACTTATACAAGTACAACTTGGGGCCTATATTGACATTCATGACATACTTGAATGAGAGAAATGCAATCAGCGTGGCTGTAAGACAAGCGATGGAGACCAAGCAGCCAACTCTACTGATTACAGTCAAAGCAAACAGAACCTCTATTGGAGCATCTTTCTTTCTGAATTCCTAAAGGAAGAAACAATAATAATTAGATAATTAGAGTTAGGGATTGCTAGTAAATCTAAAAATGTATGTTTTATTTACTAATTATTTTGAAGGTTCTTTTATAAGCTTTCGCTTAATTAATTATTATTACTGGTTTATTATCATTAATTTATAATTATCATTATTTTATTTTTATTTGATGTTTGATGTAATTCAAAATTTTTAATCAAATGAATGATACATCAAAGAACAATAATTAGAGTTCAATTGTTCTGTATGTATTGGAGATTTAAAGTATCACCTTCAAACAACCCTCACAAAACATTGTTAAAAAATATATAATTATTGATATTTGTAGTCGAACAATATGTTATTATTATATATCAATACAAGGACTATCCATAAACTTACGATGAGGACGGCAAAGTGTGTCAGGTGATTACAATCACAAATTATGACGTCATCAGTCATTGAGTTTATGACGCACCCATCAGATGACCAATCACCGATGCCATTTTGCAAAGTAAAGTCCCAGTAGACACAGGTGGCGTTGTCGTAATTAGACTTACTCTAAGAACAGGAAATATTAATTTTACTGTGAAAATGTCAGCTTACATTAAGGAGAAATAAAATAAAACGGCTTTGGGGATTCAGTTCACTTTGGTCGGTCTCACCATTTTGTCTTTTGGATCAAATAAATAATGAAATGAACTTGGAATTTGTAGTGATTTATCTTTTTAAGACGTTGTATATCTAGTGCAACATAACAACGTTCGAAGATTGTGATGTTTACACTAACTGCAACAAGAGAGATTCACCCTCCAAGTTAAAATAGGAGGAAACTTTGATAAACCGACCTTTGTATGGCACCGAACGATCCATACCAATCTATTTGTTATACAGTAGTTTAACATATTAGTATATGTTGACCCTGTATATCAGTGGAACTTTTTAACATGTTGGTTTACATGAAATAGAAAAATATATAGACATTCCAAAATTCACTATTAAATATTTAAACAATTTTTTATTCACAAGTTAATTGGCTAGGAACACAATAACGACCTTTATGAATCGAAAAGAATAGGTACAACATAGGCCACGTACCGGGGGTATCCCAAACGACATCGTCACTGGATCCCGGAGGTTAGTCACCTGAGTGTCTGGAACAGAGACTGACAGAACTCGACTCATGACTTCTACAGATGAGTTGGCTCCAGATGTCGAAGGTGATGAGAACAACATCCCATTAGAGAATATAACGTAGCTTATCTGCAAATCACCTGAAAATGAGTTGATATAAGTATAATAACACATTCGTTTTAAAAAAGGCCCTAAGTCGTCCGTAGCACCCATGTTGAATAGACCAAGACGGTTATATAATATCTCCCAGTACACTAAATTAAACCTATGGCATTCGAAATTATTATGGATAAATAATTTGGCAATTTATTGAGGCATGCCTCTAAAGTTTAGTTTTGGCCTTCCTGTTTACTCGTTTAGGCTGTTTATTCAACCCTCACTCACTGGCCACTGAGGAAGAACTAGTGTTGTCCGAAAGCTCTGGTTCTATTTCTGGCTGTTTACTTTTTAGCTGTTGCTTATCATTTTTGTATCTCTACCGAGATCCAGCCATTGTTTCCCACAGCATACAGATGTATATGTATATATATATATAGGCCTATATATAATGTATAAATCAAATAGATAATAATACAGTACTCAAATATATAGAAACATGATGTTATACATTGTATTAAACATAGTTCATGAACGAAAGTTGAAGTTGTATGGAAAAAGAGGTGCAAATTGAACCCGCAATCTCTCGCTATCTCGGCGAGCATACCGTTTAGACTACGGAGGCTCGTACGATATTTATTATGGAAAAACCACTAGTCTGTCTCCATATTTTTTTAAATATGAATGTATGCTTATTACTAAATACTACATTTTATGTTTCGTTTCTTGCCTAATGTCTGTCGCGTCAACATTTCTGCTAATATGAGAAGTAATCAAATCAAATTACTGTTAATCTACTCGTGTCCAATCAGGAAATACGAATTTCTGAAATCGTGACTTTTCTGGACATTATCTCTAAAATGATAGAAATGACTCCCTTCAGACCTGAGATTTAATTCCACATGTCAACATAGGCCAATCATAAAGATAAACAACTAAATTATGTAAAGTCATATGATGGAAAGCACTAGGAATACAAATTTAGTTTGAATTGTTGGTGTGATATTTCACAAAATCATGTTGATTGACGGCCTAATCCATTATTATCTATAACAACAGGAATCAATTATTTCAGTTCTTCATTTCATTTCAAACGTCCCTGGATGGAATGATGATGTATTATCTCAGACATATTTTTGTTTAGTTTTTACGAGTTTACTTTATTTCAATTAACAAATGAAAAAATAAAGAAGGCTTTATAGAGAATAAATATAAAGATTAGCAAGCATGTGACTATGAACTATTACATGATATAAAACGATTAAAGTTATTTTTAAAGTATTTTTAAAATACTAGATATTTTGTTTTCCTTCATCATGATCAAGCATATTTGCATCCCACTGTATATTTAATGTGGTACCTCTTGAGGAAGATTGTCGGAAACACCCCATATCAAAACATTGTTCAAGTTACAGTTAGGCCTCTTCACAATGAACAATTTGTGTCTAGACAAAGCTTGGAAAAACAACATTGATCAAGACTTCTGTAGCATTGCACTGCTTAATCATGAATGAACCATTGACCTCAAAATCATATTCACTATTTTATATTGCTGTATTTTGAATACTTTACAATTGCTGTACAAATAAGAAATAGCAAATTGTGTTAAAAATTCTTCAGTCACTTTTAAGATGATAAGGTCAACGTCATGTAAACTATTCAAATTATAAGCTAAGTGGCAAATAAAATACATGTAAACGTAAGTTTGAAATTACAACGAACACAGAACTTTAGAAACTGTATATTTATAGAAAATAACATAGAAAATAAATACCTGATCCAATATATTGGCCGATTTCTTCGGGTACTTTACAAGATACATCAACCCCTGTTGAAGGAACTAAATTCGCGTTTTGAAAATTTTCAAGTTGGTTATTTGCTAGGCTGTCGCCTCGACTATCGGTGTCCGTTGATGCAAACCCTAGGCCACCTTCAACAACGCTACGGTTATTTGTATTTGCCAGAACGGCAAGGTTTTCTACTTGAACTTGAAAACCGCCTACAATCAAATTAGAAAAAACAAACAAAACAACGG